AAGTCGCACACATTCCCAACACAGTCGTGTTGACATGAACCAGAAGAAAAAGAAAAAAAAAAAATAGAAACAACAAATAGATTTTGTTTGAATGTGGTTTAAAAAAAATCCCTTTAACAGATGACCTCGGAGCTTGTGGTAAGGCAGCAAACCCACGAGAGTTCATTCCTCTCCATGCCGTCCAGCTCTGGACAGTTCAGCCAGAAAACCAACAACTGAGGATTTTGTTGGGAAATTCCTGACATTTTCTCCTCTTTGATGGGCCAGAGGACATCACAAGAACAGCTTTTCCCATGGTGTTTTGGTATTTCTTGGCTGGGAACCATCTCGGTGCAGGAAGGTTGCTGAGCCTCTCCCTGTCACCTCCTCAGACAACGAGGGACAGAGCCCACTTTGGTCCCTGGATTGGAAAGCAAGTAACAAGACTTGCTAAACAGCAAGGGATTGGGTTTGGGGCCGACTTTCATAATGCTTTAGAGTGCTGCCTCCCTGCAATGCAGCTGGCTGCTTGGCCAAAACGAAGCAACCAGGGTCCTGCCCCAGGAGAATTCCCCCTTACAAAGGCTCTGAGGTTCTGAGCAGAGGATTTCCCTGCCCACCTCCAACCACGCTCCTCCTGGTCCTCACCTCCCACCACTATTTGATGCGAGGCTGCTGGAGCCAGCAGTATTTCCCCTCCCGGTCACAGCCCTGTGCACCAGCCGTGGTATTTCGGGAGCACCTGACCCCAAATCTGCCAGGCTAGGAATGAGGTTGCTGCTTACAGTTGCTGTTAATGAGGTTAATTACGTTAAATGAGGGTCAGTGTGACATGCTTGAAGTTGTGATTCATGGAAGAGGTCACCTCTCATGTCCAAATACAAATATTAGAGGAGGAAAAGAAAGAAGAAGTGGGATGGAGGAAACAGGGAGCCCTTGAGGTCTGTACCTGCTGATGGAGCAAAGCTCCCTTTTCCTAGCTCTGCTTGAGAAACATAGAGCTGAAGATGCCAAATGTGCATCACGTTAATCTGATGACTCTCCAAGATGTCTAGACTGCTGTCGGAGCTGATACGAAGCTGGCATTATCCAAGCTCATTGAGCCCTTCTTGCCTTTTTTTTTTTTTTTAATAATAAGATTCTTTTCATATTATGCACTGCTGGAAAGTCCCGTTTGCATGCAGACAGCTGCTGTGTTTATAGACACCATCCAAAATGCAGCTAAACACGACAGCTCGCTTTAAGTGGAGCAGCAGACATTTGTTAAACTGATTTCCAGAGGGATTGCGGGAGCTCTAAACTTTTTTTTTTTTTTTCTGTTTTAAAGACAAAGCCTTGTCCTTGTGCAAAGACACAAGTCCCACATGGAAACATGCCTCGGGAAGAACCTGGGAGCAAAAAAGAATAAAAAAAAAAATATCCTTAAAGCCTAATAACAGCCTGAAAAATCAGCATCTCCTGTTGATGTTAACCCAAAGTCCAAATGCTGAGCTGAACACGCTGGTCCCGGTGAATCGCCGAGGGGTCATCCTCCAAGCACGAAGAGGTCAGCTTGGCTTCAGCACTGTGCAGACCAAATATCTCAGCTCCTTCCTTTCACATCCGCAGAGCTAAAATTATAAATAAGTGGGGAATTGCATCAGAACTGTCTATAAGTGAAAACAAAATCCTGAACAGCAATTTGGGAGGGTTTCTTTCAGTCAGTTTTTCCCCATTATATCACAATGGGAGTTATTGTACAGAGGAAAGTGAAGGATGAGGGCATTAATTTGAACATGCATTTCAAATGAAAGCCCATTTCCGCCCCCAAATGGAAACCCCACACCTAGAGCAAGCAAGTAAGCGATGCTTAAGTCACCAAATGCAGCATTTCAAGTTCTGACACCCAAATTCGCTTCTGTGTTTGTCCCACTCCTTTCTATCAGCAACCCCTTGTCCTATTATAAGCCTGCACCTTGTGCCAAGCACATTTTAGCTCAAAGCATCAAGAAAGAGCAGGGGGCTGGGGCTCATGAGCTCTTTTCCTCACGAGCCTTTCCCAAATCGCTCATGGAAGCACAGGGACAGTGCTGGCCCATGTGGGGAGCCGGGTGCAGCCTCCCCCAGCCCCACTTTCTGGTCTGTGGGATCCCTTGGAGCAGGGATTTTGCCCCCTCCCTCCAAAAATAACCTCACCCAAAGGGCACGCTGCGTGGCACAGCCAAGCACACAGTGCCCTCTCCTGCCGGGAGCTGCTGTGTTTTGTACGGCCCCCTCACCCGTCTTTTTGTCCTTAAATTGTGAAAATTATTTACCGGCTTGCTTTCACAAAATGCTGGTCACAAAAGGCGACTGAGCTTGACAAAATTGCGGTTTTTTTCCTCGCCAGGTTTCAGGTTCCTGCACCAATCCAGACCCAATCGTGACATCTAGTGGGTAAGAGGCTGAATGCTTTCCTTGGGTCAAAAAATAAATCAATCATTTTTACTTTCCCACCCATTCCTGCGCCCTGGCAGCGGGACCCCCTTGGATTTGGGTTGTCAGCCATGGGGAAGGGATCGCAGCCGCCCGCAGAGCCCAGCTGCTGGGGACGGTGGTACCGTGGGGACAGTGGCACCGCAGGCAGCTGCAGCCCTGTGTGACTGAAAATACCCAAATGCAGTAAGAGGACTCCAGCCTTGTTTTTCACACAGCTTCCAGCTGGCCCAAAGGCAAGCATGTTCACTTTCGGTGATGCTATCTCCTGCAGACCTCCTTATTTATGCATGAAAAACAAGTGGGGCAATTTGCAATATTTCTGACAAGCCCCAAAGCTTGAAAAGCTCAGCAGTGCACGCCTTTTCCACCCCTAGTGGGATAGGGCAACACCTTTGCAAAGACCAAGGATCACAAAAAGGCAAAGTATTAAAGTTTAATTAGCTTTTAAAACCAATTTATGAACGCTTGCATTTTATTATTTTGTTTCTGTTTCTCTTTACAAAAAGATTGATATCAAGCAATACAGGAGTGCTGCCAAATTTGGAAAACTGAGACACCTGAAGCAGGGCAGTCAGTAAGCACCTGGAGCTTCTCCGAGCCAAGGCTGATTTGTGCTGTGCCTCTTTTTTTGCAGGTGCAGAGAAAAGCTTTTCTATTATTTCCAATTACACATCTTATTCAGCACAGTAAGTAGTTTGTACAGAGTTAAAGAGACCAAATGGGATTTGGGAAGAAAAAAAAAAAAAAAAAGACACAGGAAACTTGTTTTCCTCTTACAGTTGATGAATTAAAAATAAAAGTAGAGATGAGATTACAGGATTCAAAATTCTACAGTCATTGAAATCCAAGCTGAAAAATAACTGCAAGAGCAAAACATCCAATTCATTAATGGAAAACTAAGATAGCATGAAAGTCAATTTTAGATGCAAAACATGCTGACTACAAGTAGCTCCATTTAATGAGAAAATCAATTAGTGCATTTTTGTTGAGTTCCAGTTTCCAAACATAGCTCAAGACAAATCGTTATGCAAGAACCCAGTCCAGAACTGCTTCTTCCATTACATCACAGAGCAGGTGTGGAAGTTCAGTCTGAATAAATGCGTACAAGCAAACAGCTCATATACATATATGGGGCTAATCTAGCTGTGAAGCAACTATAAAATATTTCAAGTTCACCATAGGTGTTTAACTGCCAACACATAATAATTACCAACCAAACAGAATTATTAACCCAAAAAATGTCTAAATGCCTAAAATGCTTAAACTTCAGATCTGTCCATCCATCCTGATATCACACACAGAGCTCCAACTCCATCCTGCTGAAGACAGCAGCTCTCCTGGCTGCTGGCACGTCCTTGGGATGTCTTCTCCAGCCCAGCACGAGGGGCCTGTTGAGAGTGAGGAGCCTCAGGAGCACAGTCCTGGTTTTTACTTTTTCCAACCATTCCAGTGCATGCTCATGTCCAGCAGATTGAGGAAAGGAGAAAGTGCTGATAAACATGGCTTGCAAATGCAGAGTGCAATTATCATCAGGAAAGGAAGCTATGAGCTTTTATCTGGGCAGTAACCCCAAAGCACATTCCCCAGGCAATCTGACATCCTTTTTGGAGCAGTCGCAGGTCGTCTGTCCGCAGCACAAAGGATGCCATGCAAAAGGCGAGCTGGGGTATGCCATTCTCTCTCTCTCTCTCAGGGCCCGGCCGCGATGCACAGAACAGGCGGCTGGCGCCGCACCAGGACCGAGGGAGGCTGCATCCCACAGCTCGCCTGGGGGAACTATTTCAGGCATGTCACATTTTAACCACACATGGCAGCATCTCTGCACTCTGCATAGAGGTCATCCCGGAGAATCACAAGCTCCATCCGAAGCCGGTCCAAAATAAGAAACGATTTTTCAAAACACCCCAGCTCCATGCAAGCTGAAAGCCTGGAACAGAGTCCTTCCTCTGCCTCTGGGCAAAAAGTACACAGTGTTTGTCATTGATGACCCTTAATTCATAAGGAAAGTAATACCAGACACGGGGAAGGTGCAAGGAGAGCAAGGTGTGTGAATAAATGTAAATCCAGAGGTGGAGGGAAAAATCAACATTATGTGCTGCGTTGCCAGACTGATGGTACAGTCAGGAGAGGAGCCACAGAGTACATGACACCGCAGCTGTTACACCCTGACGGGCTCCATGTCCTGCCCCTGCAGCTCAGCAGCTCCCTGCAAAGGGGTTTTTATGGGACTGCCTTCAGGACCAGGCACAGAAAACAGTTTTAAGGTTGAAGAAAATGTTTCTGTGGCAGGACCCTCTGCCGTGCCTTCACCCCACCCTTAATGCAGGCTCTGTGCAGCTGCCCTCACAGCAGCTTTCTGCCCTGGGGTCTTTCACTGTGCCCCCCCAGTGTGACCAGGGCAGCTCACACGCAGACAGCAGGACTTGTCCCAGGGGCAATTTCTTTTCCTCCCAGCTGCCCTGCTCTCCTGCCAGCACTGACCTCCAGGAGCAAGCAGGGAAGCCGCATCCTCCTCACCCCCTGGTTGTTCTTTGATCAGCGCTGACGTTCCTCACACCGCTCTGAAACTCTGCCAGTGCTGGAAGTGAGCTGGCACGAGGAGTGACGGAAGAGGACTCGGTCTGTGCGTCCATCGTTATCTTTTCACTGCACGTCAGCTCCGAGATAACACCAGGGTGAGTAAATTAGCAAAAACGCAAAACTAGAAAGCTCTATCGTAGGAGTGCCAGCTAATGCAAGTGTCTGGATCGGTGCTAAGATGCCTAAGGAAGGTGCAGCAGAGGAGCAATCCTTGGGGCAAGCTCCCACTAGTCCCCTGCATCTCTCTACATCTTCTTACTGCAGAGATTTCAGAAAAGTGCCTGAATGAGCTCCCAGCTCTTCAGCAAGGAACATACCGCAGCCTTGTGATTAACGATTTTGCGAGGCATGACTGACCATTTAATTCTGCATTTTTCCCCTCTAAGACTGAGAATTTTGACTGGATGCAGCCACACCTACCCCTCTGAGCTGGTGCTGTGCTCCCCTCTGATGGGCAAGTTTGTGAATGACATTTGATTTACCTTTGGCAATGATGCAGGAAAGGGGGGGGCTCTTAAGAGGAGAATTTAGGAAGTTTAGTTAATCTGACAGTTTCCTGTTACTATCAGAAAATTGATGAAAAGGTGATCGTCTGTACAAGATCACGGTCTGGCATTTCTTAACACCACTTACTTCTTACACCAAGAGACTGAAAAGGTGAGGATCAGGGAGAGGAAATAACTTCCCAAATTATTTGATTGAGTGCCTTAAAAACAAGAGACCCTTTCAGCTTGCTTGCAGATTTGGTCTTCCTTCAGTTATAGCCAGGATATTTCTGTACTGGACCCATTCTCCTGTGAGAAGAGGCAGCAAACCCAAACACCCCGCATTTATTCCTATCCAGTAGTTTTTGTAAGAGAAACTGAAGCAGGGCTGAGGAGAACTCCTCTGCTCCTTCCCCTCAAGGCTCTTGCCCTCGAAACACCATGGGGTGAGGCCCAGGCCTGCCTTACTCACATGGCCGCCATTTGCCTTCCTCACAGGGCCGGCAAGGGCCCAGCGACCTCCGACGTCCATGAGATCACAGAATCACAGAATTTCTAGGTTGGAAGAGACCTCAAGATCATCGAGTCCAACCTCTGACCTAAAAGATGTTCCTCAGAGCTGAGGGGCCAGGGAAAGAGCAGCCAACAGCTGGGGCTTGTCTCTTTTCTGACCCCTGGACAGGGGAGCACAGAGTCCCATGCTTGCAATGTGAAAAATATATTTTCAAATTTTTTTCTTTGACTACAGAAATAATCTCCCAGCCCAGGAATGAAAGAACTCCAATGGTGGGCAGCTCTGCAATGGGCCACCCGCAGATGTCAGTCAAATAACACTGAAAATAGAGAGGGTCAGACACAAGGAGCAGATCCTGGGGCTGAGAAGCAGCCGGGCACGGCCACTCAAGCCCACAGTGTACAAAAAGCAAAACTGGAGCCTGAAACGAGATCCAGGCTCCAGCGAAATGGACTATTTCCAAGTATTTGAAAAGCTTCAGACAGCTGTGGGAAGGAAGAAAACTCTCACAGGCTGTGACAAGGCAGAGCAAGAGAGGCACGAAAACAAGTTCCCCCATGAAACAGAAAAGGCATTGAGGCTCTGGCAGCCCACAGGGGACGGATGGTGCCGGCTGGGCAGGCGCTCGCTGCTCAGCAATGTTTGAGGAAAATCCTCCTTCAAGGTACCTGACAGGGCCAAGCCACCCAGAAGACCCCCAAGAAACGAACACAGCCACAGGAGGTGTTTTGGAGGCTCAGGAAAACACAGGACCCATCCCTGGGGACACCAGCGACAGCCATCCTCCTGCCAGCGAGCCACCAGCAAGCCCCAGCTCCCCACAGCAGCGCCTGGCCTGCCTGAGGATGCTGATGTCCAGGCAGAAGGCAGAATATGAATCCAGAGTTGCAAGGTAAAGGCTTTAAAAACTGTGAAGCTTCGGGGAGGGCATCGCTTCATACTGCATGCTACTGCTGCAGGGGCTCCGGGCACTGCTGCAGTACCACCAGCAGCAGCGTCCGCAGCCAACGTTACCGGACAGGGTTAGCAACAGCCTGGTAATTTCAGTCCACTTCTGTGTGAGGTGCTTGAGAAGTGTCAGAGCATATATAAGGTTTTCAGCACGACTGTGCAGAGCTCTTGAAAAGCATCTCCTATATTGTGTATTTTTCCCTTTAGCCTTAATCCAATATTAAATGTTTCTAAGAAAAACGCGCTGGGTTCTCAGCAGCGGTGGTAAGTAGTAGGTCATTATTCTTTACGCATTTTAAGCCATGAATTTAAATTTCTGAGGAGAGTATTCGCAAGTCTTTTCCAGCTTCCTAAAATGAGAAATTGAATAGAGATTTAGCCAGAGCTTGTTATCAAAATAACGACATGGCAGCATTTCCAGGCTCCACTCTCCAATTGGCGCTGTTTTTTCTGTCATGTAGGTAAAGGGAATGAACATTTTAAATACAGTACCAGCAGCTATAAATTACAGGTATAAATCATGCAAAATGACTATTTGATTAAAACATAATATGCTTCAACATGCATTTTTTCAACAGACAGCACGGAAGTTGTTTAATTTTCTATTACACTTTGCCTTGAACACTGAAAGAGAAAAAAATCCATTAAATCTTTAATTTCCTAAGGAGGTAGTCACCAATTTCTTCTTAATAAACAAACTGTTCCTAGGTTGTTCGCTTTTCTTAATTATCATTAAACTCCTCATTAAATTCTGGTTAAATTTTCCCTTGCAGTTCAAGTTGGTATCCTCAGTGTTTCCTAAAATAAATTGCACTGCCATTTACATTTAGACTACTGTAGTACTCCATAAGGAAATGATTTAAAAAAGCATCTCCCCCAAAATACTGCTTTGGCCATATGGTTATTTGTATTTACTCTAGATTGGGGTAAGTAAGGTTAATTGCCCTGTTTGTTTGTTTTTAATATTTAACACCATGAACTGGAAAAGCAAGCCCCAGTATCAAGTGCTGAACAGCAAATTCTGACAGAAAACAGACCCCAGTGTTGAAGAGATGACACCAAGAGCCACATCAGACTAAACATGCACACTGTGCCACCGCTGCCTCCTCACACCTCTTCCACCAAAATCCCAGTGCACAACCCAGGAGTTTAAGTAGGTGCACAGGGCCGAAGCTCCTTCTAATGCTGGGTAAGGACATAATTTAACACCAGATTCCCCTTACAGAAGAAAATCTGCCAGGGAGAGCAATTTTGGTGCATTACCTCCTGAAAAAAAAAAAAAAAAAATCAGTGTAAGAATGCTGTCCCTTCCTACACAGGTTAACAAGGGACATGTAACAGCCCGCTTAGGGGCTGCTAATATTTGTATTTATAGGAACATTTGTTTAAAAAATTAAAAGCTACAGCTTCATTAAGGGGAAAAAAACAATTTATCATGTCTGTCTTTCAAACAGCCTGGAGCAGCGGAACAGAGAGCTGCAGTCGGAGATTAAGGACATGCATTGGAAACTGGGACAGCAGCGCAAGCAGCACAGCCTTGTGGAGATGAAAATGCGAAATGCAGAGAGAGCAAAGGAAGATGCAGAGAGAAGAAACGAAATGCTTCAAAGAGAAATGGAAGAGTTTTTTGAAACCTTTGGAGAAATTAACAAATGGAAATAAATCGGTTTGAACTTGAGCTCTCTCTGTAGGAGAGAGAAAAGCCATATTCTGATCTCAGAAATTAAGAATCTCAGCAGTAAAAACTGGGCTGTCAATTACAAAGCAAGCAGTGATACAAACTCATCCTTAACTCCAGGAACTCTCTGCAGTGCCCTGCTAACACCAAGGATGCTCTCTTTTACCCCTGGAAAAATCTTTCAGACATGCTTTGCACTACCCATTCCCAAACCAGCCTACAGCAGCACAATGGGAAAGCTCCCTGGTATTTTCAGGCTCACTCGTACTAATGCACCAAGTGGCTGACTTTTTAATTTCAGGATATTGTGCTTGTTGGGAGTGTTTTACTAGCCAGCCTAGAAGTCACATAGGTATTAAATGGGCTTCAGGGGCGTTTATACCTGCATCCTTAAGTCAGATGATTTCTTTGGAGACAAACACAGAGAAATAATAAGACCAAACATCTCCTTATAGACCATGCCAGCACTGCCATGTGGCCCTGTGGCTGGAATCTGGAGCTTCAGGGTAAGTCCTGTCCTCTCCCTAAAGGTATTTCCTTTCATGGAGGAAGAGGTATCTCGGATAGCCAAGAGTCTCCCTGCCAGACTCCCATAAGTATGCCTGTCTTAAGAATGTTACTAGTAGACTCCTTCACTCATCTTTGCAGAGCTACCTCTATACACACCATAAACACATTAACTATTTTAATACTAGAGTTTTAATACTGTTGTTTTTGTTGTTTTAATACTGTAGTTTTAGTAACTATTTTAATACTTCCCCAGTTACATCAGACAGCTTTACAAAGTGACTAAGAAACCTTATCAGTGTCTTCACAAGAATACTTACCTCTTCAAGAAAATACAATGAAATGATTTATTGTTTTCAAATTTAGCTGTACATCTGCATTATTCAGTCAGGACAAGATGAAACAACATTGTTAGAGAATTAGGTGAAAAGCAAATTATTTCAAAGTCCATATATATATACAAATAAACACACCCCATACGGCCAGTAGCTTATCTGCATCTTACAAGAAAGTCTGAAAAAACAATTATGATACTGGTTAAACACAAGGATGTGAATACAAATCTGTCAGTATCACCCAGAAAGCTTCTGCAATTTTGAAGAACAAATTCCAAAATACACTTCTTACTTGGCAGTAAAACCAAGTGCTGTTAACATGTCCAAATGTTCCAGGTGATCAGGAGAAAGCAGCTCCAGAAAGTGTTTTAAGCTGATATTAATTTACTTTTCATACTCATACTTACTTTTTGGTTAACCAAAAACTGAAGTGTAATGAAACATTATGTTTTATAAAACTAAGAACATATTCTTTCAATTAGATAAAACATTCCACTTCAACACAAGAAGAAGCAAGAAACAACACATAGCTATAGTAAATAAAACAAACTACTCAAATTGTTTAAGTATACATATTTATTTGTAATTTTACAGTGGCTTTAGTATTGTTTTATGATACGTTTTTTGGAGAAAAAGCATCAGAACAAGGCTTTAACTAGCACTTCAGAACTAGTTATTGACAGCTTTCCTTATGAAATTCTAGTTTCCTTAAAAAAAATCAATCCAAAAAAATAAGGAAGCGTGACTGCTGTCCATGAAACAAAAAATACTGTCTAGTCATCCTGAAAACAAAGTCCAGCATCAGACAAAATAGCCACTGCATTGAAGGGAACATGTTCCTATTGCACAAGCATAAAGAATGAGATATGACAATCAAAGCCTAATTTCATACGCAGAAGAGGCCACATGTATCTATATAATTAGACTTCAAAGCACATCTTTCTTCTGAAATTATATACCATATCTAATATTAAGGCCATAAAATCAGAACATTATAACAAGTGATAGGGCTTGATGCTACTTTTTGTGACATTTGGTAAACAGAAGGTGGAAAAGAGGGCCAAAACAAGACAAACAAAGCATTTCAAAGGGAGATAAAGGCATTTCAAAAAAGTTCTTGAACTGAAGTTGGGTGGGAGGGTGGTTATTTTAAGTAATCGGGAAAAATTGGATTTAAATACAAATAACTCAAGGAGCCCATTATACTCTTTAATAGCATGTGTTCTGGAGCAAACTACATAATATATTCTCTGGATTTAACATTTGCATTTGTACAAAACAGTTCATTAATTCCATTTGATATTCTCTCTTTAAAATAGATGAAAATTCTTATAATCTTTATAAGTTATCTTAATGACCAGATAAGGCTTCGCTGTACTGGGTTAACTAAACACAAGTATCTCTGATTTGCCCTTACTTAGGTATCCTAATTAAACTAAACTAAAACCACCTGTGGGACCCAGCATGTCATGCAATTTAAAGAAAGGGATTGTAGTTATGCATTGCTAACTCTCTAATCATGTTCATTTTATTAGTGTATAAAACACTTGAAAGCAATAGCTCCAAAGAAGCATAACTGGAATTTTACACACTTTACTTTTGGAAAAATTGGGAATCTGACGAACCTAAAAATGTATATTAGTCATTTTATAAAGTTTGGTTTGCCACAATTTAAGAAAATATAGGTATCAAAAACAGACAAATACATTGCTAACCATCTGTTACATTTTCTTTTAAAAAATTAGCACCAATTTAAGCATCTGAATTCATAGAAAAGCTAGTGACACACATGGTTTTTCAAAAAAGTTTTTTCCCAGTAGAAGACAATACAATAGCACATGTTCATGGATATTAAACTAGCTTTGCTATCGTTAACAAATATGACTACTGTTTCAGGTAGTGGACATAAAATGTGGTTCTTACGTGACTGCTTTCTTCTCTGCTTTCATTATCCTAAGAAACCATGGAGTGCTGAACTCCAGCCTGGAAAACGAGCTCATGTATGCCATAGGAGGCATCAAGCTTTTAGACCAGTATTTTAGAGACACTGTCTTCCTATGTATCCTCATAGTATCTGTAACAGTGGAGTCCCCATGTAAACAGATGTTCTGGCCTCACCACAGCACATACATCTAGCTTAGGATGAATAGCCTAATGTTAATAAAAGCTAGCTGATCTTGCTACATGACAGACTTTTGCATTTCTTTATATCATAGATGCCTAGGTAGTCACTTTGCTATTCAAGTCACCCTACAGGTATTTAAGTAGGGGATGCTTCTCAAATCATCTCGTACTATGTGTTAAATTTCAGCCCTAAAAAAATCTCAAAGTTCACATCTCTCAAAAAAGGTTTATATTTAAAGGAAAATGCTGTTCAAATCTATCAGATCAAAAGACTGAAACCAAATTTGAATACATCTGATTTTTTGTCATTCCTTTTAACACTATATACTGGTTGTATTCAGAAGAATCCTAAAGTGCTTCAAACCCAGCAATTAATAAAGTTGATTTCTGTTGTGCAAAACTGCAAGCACCTTTTCAAAAAATAAGCAGCAACATCAAGGAATAAGAACTGAAATATTTAAATGTATTTTCTTTTTTTAATTCTTGGACCAAAATAATTTGTCGTATTTTCAGTAACAAATTGCAGAAGACTATTTTATTATTTTAATTTTATACTGGACTTCTTATACATATATTTCTTTGAAATAGCGGACCCAGGTAAATTTATATCAACAAAGCAAGTCTACAAGATTGAAATCCAACAAATAAAATTTTAGCTACAAAAATAGTCATTTAATAAAACACAAACAGAAGTGATGATCTTCTCTTCACCTTCCTCCAACACTAATATGAGAAAAGATGGCTTACTTAAAACATTAGTTTAGCTCCAGACGTTTTAGCATGCAGTGGGCAAAAAATAAAACTGATTTGATAAGTTGTGTAATAAGCTTTTAGAACATCACTAATTACTCACGTAATAGACAATCTAAGATATATGGAAAATAATGAGGCAGAATACATTTTTTGTCATACTTCATGTTGAAAAAAATCAAAGACACTGTGGAAAAGCAAAGAAGTTACTAGATTCATTTATAGGAACTTAAGTCCAAATTCTGCATCTGGGTGCAGGTGTCCCTGGATCAAAAACAGTTTTGAGCAGGAATTACACAATACACATCCCAGGAAAGAATTTGGTTCCCAGTATACAGTATCACTAAGTTTAGCATCAAGCCCTGATAGAATCCATATGACATATGTAGAATATACAGACAAAGGCTGGTCAGCATTTACCCCTCACCAAACTAAGTACTTCCATTTCAAGACTCACAATTCAAATGAAACGCTCTACACAAACTGTATTGCTGCAAGACTGAACCTGTATTCAAAAACAGCATTATGCTCAGTAAAGATTTGTCTGCACTTCAGCAACTGAACTTCCAGCGCACACCAAACGGGAGGATTGCACTTCTGCCAAAAAAGGCTCGTTTACCCAGTTCTTGGAGGCTCAGTGTGTCAGTTTTTTGAATGTCTGAATCCTATTTCATTTGTAAAATTATAATTTTAAGCCAAATACAAGCTAAAAAGGAAACCAATTCAGCATTATGATTTAGAAATTGAGGTCTTTCCTTCAGGAAAGAAAAATAAAACATATGGAATTACTTCCCCCAACACACACTTAGTTTTGAATAAACGTATGTGCACTCTGTTAGGACTCCAAAAGACAAAAAAATAATAGTCCTTTAGTCCCTAACAGTCTTAACAACCAACCAGTTAATTCTCAGTTAAGGTTCAGTTTAATTTTCATTATTTTGACAAGGAAATGCAAACCCTTACCAGAAACAAGATAAAGCTTCACAGGCTGTTTGCAAACACTAGTTTCCAGTCAGACTCGTTTGTTTAGTAAAATCTGTGCAGACAAAACCTTGATTTTGCCATTCGTTACTCATGTTTTTGTCATTTTCCATTACATAAAATGAAGCTTGTCATATCACACTGTTTCCTCAAAGCACACTTACAGGCTGCTTATCCAGATTTCAAAAAGCCAGGTTTCTTTAAGGGTGGTGTTTTTTTTGTTTGGTTGTTGTTTTTTTGTGTTTTTGTTTTTTCCCCGATTGGATTTTTTTTTTTTTTTGAGGAAAAACGATATGAGCACAGAACATTTTAAAACATACTCCATTTCTGCAATGCCATTCAGCTACTCAGTGTTCATATATCTAACAATGTTTCTGGTAAATAATCTGATTGATAGCCATAAATCCCTCTTTTTTGTTGTTTTTCAGGTGAGCAGTTAAGATTACAGATTGCATCTATGTTGACTGCCACTTCTTATTAGTCATATTTTATAAATTGTTTATGCATACTGCAGTAGTGTTAACACAAAGTCTCTCATACAGAAAAGTAACATTCATGTTTACAAAACTGAGCAGGTTTCTAATATATATGTATACACACTCACATATTCTTAGTCTTTAAATACATATAAATATTTATAAAAGCCAAAGTGCAAAAAAATGGTCAATTGTATCACTTTACATACATGATTTTAGTATTAGGAATAAAAGTGATTATATTGCACACCAAACTTTCTCAACTTTTAAACCCCTGTCAAGATACATGTGCATTTTACTTTCCATCAATGATGAGGTTCTCACAGCATCGACAACCATTTCACAGATGTGGCACTGAACTTAATCTGTAGTCAGGAATACAACTAATATGTATAAAGTCTGCATGCAGTGCGTTTATAGTCTGTATGTGCACACTGAAACAGCATGGGAGCTTTAGCATGCATCTATCCTGCATGCGTTTTGCTGAATATAATCTGTTTATCTGCCTTCTCTAAGAACTGGACATTTATTCAGGTTATTAGCAGTTTGCTTTTAAGTTATGCGAGAATCAAAATCCACAATATTCACACCTTTCATTTCATGCATGTTTTGAAGGCAGTAACATTTTGGTAAAATTTAGAAGCTTCAAAGTATGGCATAGCAAGAAGCCATTAAAAACATACAGTATGAAATGGCTTTTCCTACAAACAATAGGATTTACAAGGAAGCTCAATCTCAGGGCTTATTTTGTTCAAAGATTACATATTTGATGTAACAGTATATACTAGAAGGTCAGATACCAGTTCAAATCCTGGGGATAGGGCAGTTCTGTGTTAAAAAAAAACAAACAAACACACACACAACATTAAAAGACGATTTGAATCACAGAGTAATTTGGGTTGGGAGAGACCTGGAGGCCATCTGGTCCAACCAGCCCAGCGCTGAGCAGCCCAAGTCCGATATGAAAAACTCAACTTTGAGCATATCCAAAAGACATGAAAAGTATTTGTTGCATTAAATCTTCTGAAGCAATAAATGTTAAAATGATGAATGTAAAGTACAGTGCAACTTCACTTGAAAAAGCTAAAAATAAATCTTGAAAAATGAAATCCAGTAAATGACTTCCATAGTGAATAAAGAATATAAAAATATTCTTATATGGAAGGAAGGGGGGGAGGATTAAAAGTAATCCAAAATCACTAATGTTACTTCTGAAAAGGTGTCTTTAATAATTTTAACTGGCACAAATAACAAGGATTAAAAAGAAAAAAAAAAAAAAGCAACCTGTACTGTATTGCTATCTGGTAAAAGGTATTTTAGATTTATTTTTTTCCAGTAACAAAAACAATAAAAATGTACCATCAGTATCCAAAGAAACTAAGGTATCCATAGGTTTAAAACAAAACAACAACAACAAAAAGCCCTCAGTATCCTACAATTCAATAAAACTGATTTATTTATTTTTTTAATAAAAAGTTCATAATTCCAGACGAAAATTCTGAAGTTAACATCTTAAGTACTTCATTGAATTTTCCTTTTCTGGGACAGTGAAGGTTTTGCTACACCGAATTAAGCTATTTAAAAACACATGGATACAATTTAACAAAAGCAATTTTGGCATAAAGTTACTGCTTTTTCAAATCTTAAGGTCAGAAAGAAGGGACACTTGTCTTTTACAAGAATGTACTAGACATGTCAGTAACGCAGTGGCTAGCTGCACAAGTGTATTTTGTAAGTGCTCTTTTTAAATTCAAGTCAGCAGTATCTGAATCAACAGCTAAATACAATGCCTTTAGGAAAGTGGTGTTTTACCTCATCTTGGACATCCATTACTATTATAGTTACATAGTTTAATCATACACACATGCACACATAAGATCCTTTAGCAAAATTTTACACACCTGTGCACTCTAAAGTGAATGTGCACAAATTCACAAGTGTGTAGCATCTGGTAATTTAAGCCCTACTCTACTGCAAACATTTTCTAAGAATTCAACATACTGTGCAGGCAGTGTTTGTATTATACAATTCTGAAAACTGCATTGACAAGCTTCTATTGAAACAGCAAATAAGCTCCTCTCCTCTGACACTGTATTTAGAAAATATATATGTATTAAATATATTAATTTTCCCTCTCCAGTAGGAAATTGAGAGGTTTTCCTAATTTGGGAATAGAGCTAAATTCAATTAAGTAAATACTTTAACTTAATTGTCAAATGACTTAAAGCTACTACATTTGTTTCCTTAATTACTCTCTAGATAGCATGGACCCATTAAAAAATGGAAAACATTTATGCAGCTCTTTTTCAGGCCACTTAGGCTGCAAGTCTCTCCAATTCACCTGTCCTTTTTATCAGTTTGCACTGAATGAAAAGCACACATATAATTTCCTTTTTTGTTTGTTTTTGTTAAAGGACTACTATTGCAAGACAGAATGTACAGAACAATTTAGCACTCTCCCCTCTTTTAACAGGCACAACTTCACAGAGAAGTCACTCATCCTTAAGATTGAACTAAGCCACTGTGTGTCTTCCATCCACTTCAGTTTAAATAACTGAAAAGAACGTCAGAGACATATTCATTGGTGAAATATGAAGGGATGGCTACATTCTTTAAACTTCACAATTTTCTCTTCTACAAGAAGATAGACAGAATTATTAGGAAGTGGATAGAAAGGGCTCAATAAAAAGTGCTATATGTAAAAATAACTGCCCTTTAAATATAGTACTGAGTGTTCAATATGTGAATTAACACTTACACACAACACTCCAGTAGTTAAATAAAGCAAACTGCCAAAGTCACATGTTCAAACAAACTTCATAGACACTATACATTCAAAAAACCTACTAATGAGCAATACTGTACTAAAATGTAAACAACCACTGATGTCACAAAAGCCTGCCAGTTGGTACTGAAGATTCATGAACTCATTTAAGAGAAGTTATTGGTTAAAAGTCTATTATAACTGCTCACCTGAAATAGGCTGAAACAAAAGAAAAGCCTATTATAGTGTCTAAATTTATTTTTTGTTGTTGTTCCTTAGACATTGATTTAAGTTCTACAACATTAAGCAGGCAGTTTCATAACAACTGAGTAAAAATAAAAACAGGCATTACTTTAGTAGAACATGCAGAACATGGAGTTTTTCTAGTTTTGTTCCATTAACTTACAAGCAATTCAGGCCCAATGGAAGCGAGAGTTCTTTTTCCAAAGTTAAGTCTGCAATCCTGGCTGATCATCGGCATCCTTCAAGGGGTCCTGTCAAGGCATCGAGGCTGCTGTCTGTATCTGAAGCCAATGTTTGCTCTGTTGACATGGATGAAATGTCATTGATAGATGATGACTGGGAAGGACTGGTGTTGCTATTCACTGCTGCATCTGTGCTAAGTAAACCAAACATAATAAAATCTGAGGCAAGACAATATTGCAAGTACAAATAACCCCACTTCTAGGCTCTGAGCATCATTTTGAGCATCATTTTCCCTAGCGAAATTCTTAGAAAATAACAAATCAATAAACAGTAGAAAAGCAAGTACTAAGTTTCCTAACATGCAAAACCTGGAGTGAACATCAGGAGAATTGATTATTTTTCTCCTTCTCTAGGAGGAAAAAAAAAAAAAAAAAAAAAAAAAGAGACAACATAAGATTTTGTTCCCTAGTGGCACAAATACCAAGAAATCTAGGTATAGTTAATAGGAGATAGTACAACTCCAATTACTGAACCAAGAGAACAGCAGCAAACATCAAGGCTTCAATTGCAGACAAACACTTTGTACTATTAGCTGTTTTAAAGTAAGGAGCTCTGAAGATGTTTAACCCTGCATGAAATGTATGCATTCACACAGAGACAAAGAATAACCACTCAGCATAAAAGGTATCTGTGCAACAGTTGATGTAACATGGCATCGATTATTTCTTTTGATGCCTAAGACTTGTGTGGAGAAGGCAGTTCAGTGTGTTGAACGCCCATGGACTTACACTTTCCTACAACTTATTTCATAAAAATTAAATACTACAGCACATGGGTCTCCAAAGGCCGATCAGAATCCTTGTCTTTAGGAACAGAATTTTTGCCTACCTGGAGTAAGTAGGATTTTTTCACTCCTCTAGTCCACCAGATGAGCCCTACACAACATAGTTATAGAAGAGCTACTGAAACAATGACTAACCTGAGGGCTGATCTTTTACCACACCATTCTTGCTCCTTTCTTCCCAATCCATTACTTCTTTGTATATTAACTCTGATAAGAGGAAGGTGGAAGGAATGAGGGAAGAGAGAGAAAAAACATTGTAAGGTCAGAGGCTTTATATATAATTTATAAATGAGTAAAGGTACAATTAAATAGTTACGGGTCAGTCTGAGTACAACTGTAAGGGCCTTTTATTTTTTTTTAAGGGCCTATTAACATAATTAGAGAATCCTACATGTTTTATGTATCACAGAAAGACACTAAGCATGCGCCAAAATCAACATTTTACAAACACAATAGCTAAGTCATCCCACCTCAAAATATTACATCGATACCTACAATGCACTACAATTAATTGCAAATAAATGCATAAATCAAATTTGTATTTAAAATATCATGCAGATAAACCTCCGTGGAAATTTTATTTTGACATCAACAAATGTCTGCTCTTGAAGAACATGACATGTTCTTGGTGTCCCATCAGGTATGCCAAGTTACACCTTCACTTAACAGTGTGCATATCCATAGGCGTAATGAAACCAGGAGCAACAACATTTAAATACATTAAGACTCTTCTAATTCTGAGTAATAACTAAATCGATTCCATTTGATTTGTTTTTCTTTCAGAGCATTTTCTATCAAGAAAAAAAAATAACTGGGATTACCAACACCTAACAACAAAATATTCAAGGGAAAGGAAGAAGAAAATGAAAACTGACATTTTAGTGAACAGACTGAATGTTACCTGTATGTGTACATACATGCATATATATATTCATTCCAAAAATAGTACATTTTTCCATTTATTTCTTTTCATACTGGCGTAAGTAGTACTGCGTATTTTGAGTAGTGAGTTCCATTTACACAATCCAACAAACATGTACTGTGAGCTGTCATTAATAACCTAAGTTATTACAGTACATTTCATCGGTCATGCTCACTTGTTTACCTTTCCATTCTTCAATTGCATGTTCTCTTTCTTCCAATTGTGCATCATAGATTTGGGGTGGAGGCTACAAAGAAAAGGAAGCGTGTAATTTACCTATTACATATGGCCGACACAATCAATTATAGTAAGAAAAACTAAAAGTGATCTTCTTAGCCATCTCAAAATTACTTTCATTTTGTGTCTCCAGAATTTAGGTCCTACTCCCACTGAAATGCTGTTCAAAAGCATCAATTAGAAATTAAACTTTTCACAAGGCTTGATGGGGCCTCTGAGAAAGCCCACTATTCAAAATGCACTAGCTTGCCACCATATAGGCAACTCTTTCCATAAAGGGAACTATTACATCAATTCCACTCCAGGTGGTTCTTCAGGTGGTTTGTTGATCTGAATGCTTTACATGCAACTTTGACTAGTTAAAATATGAGTTCAAAGTATGTTCTTGACTCAAACTACAGATATTCTTTAAAATTATTAAACTGGTATCTTAAAATTTATTTGCAATGCAAACTTACAGCTTCTGCTTCAGCTGGGTCATACCAGACAGTAATATAAGGATGACGTAAGGCTTCATCTACAGAAATTCTCTTGTCTGGATCTACTACAAGCATTTTTGATAATAAATCTCTAGCTTGGCTGGCTAGAAAGTAAAAAATGAAAAAAACAGAGATAAAAGAGCTGTAGATTTTTAACACATGACAAAATGCGTACTGGAAACAGAAAACACAGATTTCTTAATCATCTAAGCCTTTCAACACGTTCCATTTGTTGGCGACATGAGAATACTTAACTTTTAATCCTGTGGGGTTAAATAGGTCTCACTGAGCACTGCCCATATATATATATATATATTTTTTTTTGTACTAAAGCTCCACATTTTGCTAAATACACAAACATTAACCTGCACTACCAGAACAGGCTCAGAGATGCAAGCTTTCCCATACTGGTACAGATTTCTTTCAAAATGAGGTCACAATCCTCTAGCATAAATATTATTTTACTGTAATCCAAAGCATAAGCCCTGCATCTGACAACCAAACTCAGTTTTGAACAGTCATGTTGGTGCATGGGTCACAGTTTTTTGCCATTAACTACTGAATTTAAAATACATTTGTAAATGCACAGTAAGTTGCTATTCATTGTTGCAGAGTCACTATATTGACTTTTTTTTTTATGAATGATCATTGTAATGCAATAAAATACACTACAAGATAATATTTCATATATACACATATATGTATTTATTACATACGTTGCAGACATTTTGAATTAATTAAAATCTTGAAAAGGAGAAAAAAGTTTGCCTTACTTTTTAACTTGTCACGATCAGATTCTGATGGAAATATCCAGTCTGGGAAGAGCTCTTCAAATTTAATACCAGGATATTTGGGCCTGTTTTCTACATAATTCCTCACTGTAGGCTGTAGTTTCTTCATGAAGTCCGCTGACGGCGTTCCTAATTGTTCAATAACTTTATTCCACTGATCAATATCTGCACCATATCTTTAGGAAAATCAGCTGAAGAATTTGAAGTCTGCACTACACAGAAATATCACTTACAGAAATCTGAAAAGTTGAAGACTTGAACAAATGACAAAAAATAAGAACTTCATTCTAAGATCAATTAACATTCTGAACTGCCATGCAAAAAACTACATTGACAAAAATGTAAAATTTAGGGCTTTGTAAGACAGAGTAGAAGTGCTGCATAATGTATTATTCTTAAATATCTTTTGCTAATTAATAGCTATTGGCCAGTTTTGAAAACAGTAATGTCAAAAAGAAGCTTCGTTTGGTAATTATATCCATAACAAAACAACTACAGGGACAGAAAAGAAAAGCTGCTGTTGAATCTTCCAAAGTACACAATATTATCACATGGAAGATTTTTGAAAGTAAGGAAGTATATGTTTTTAAAAAACCAAAAGCACAAATACATCACATTCTTCAAAGTAAGGAATTTTGTGCCTATGTCATGAGGAAATTAGGTTTTACATTATGGGAGTTTCTTTCTATTTGTTTTCGTTCATTTGGTTGCTTTTTATTTTCAACTTTGGAAGTTTGAAAGGGTTCTAAAAAGTGAATCCAGATTTCTGTATATTTTTATATAATTAAACCAAAAGAACCTCCTAATCAAAGACTACTGTTTTTAAATGCAGATTCTAAACATTTCTTAGGAATTGGATTTACATACTACCAATTGAAAATGTGCCTCAAATTACTCTTGGACTGCGCCTTCTTTCATCTCAAGGTGTTTTCCCTAGACTTGGTGAAATATACATATATTACAGATACACTGGAACCTTCTCTGAGCAAGCTTAGCTAGTCAGGACAACAAAGCTCTTTCACACCGAGAAGACATACTGTGTTAATTCTGTACAAGTATGTAAAAGACTTAAGTATCGGCGATACTAATACAGTAAGTTTACTCAGACCTATACTTTACATATTTCTGATCAAAAGAATGTGCAATTCCAACAGAGTCTAACCATCAACCTTTATATATAAATTCATAACCTATCATTTCAACCTATCCATCCTCATACATATTTTCTAACAAAATATATTTGCTGCATGTAGACTTAAAGAATTTATAAAACACTGAAGCTCTTTTCATTTCAGTTAGTGCACCAGAAATACAACTAGAAATATATGCATAGTAACTGCTTCATGCTAAAACTTTAGATGCAAAGATTGAAAATTATATTTGCTTATTGTATACATTCCAATGGAAAAACAATATAATAAAAATTCAAGTCGGTACTAACTCTCATGCTAAAACAAAGCACATACAATGCAATTTTAGACATACACCAGGAAATTTTGTTTTGAGTTGGAAAACTAATTTCTGCAAGAACTCCACCAATCCATCTTCAAGAAGCTTTTTTTCTGACTAACAGTAGCCTGGCTAGCCAGCTACCCAAATTAAAGTCCACTCTGTTGTGGTTTCAGGGTGAGGGGATGAACAATGATGACTAAATATCCTACTTCAGTAATAAAAACCTGGAGAGAAAAGAAAAAAGATTTCCCCAACATAGAGTTGGGCATCAAATAAGCTATGCCCATTGTTAGAAACCCATCAGGGAGAAAACCTTAATTTCACTGTAAAACGTACAGAGCATCCCTTGCAGTCTACAGACAGAATTCCCTTCCTAGTCAAGTAAGTGACCTCAACGTCAATAGTAAACCAGTCCATACCAAGTGTGCCTGCCTACTTTGTCTGTCTGGAAGAAGAGAAGTTGGAAACAGAGTCCTTATTACAATTATAATAAAGCACAATTTTCCCCCAATAAATCATGACTATGACCTCATGCTTTTTCCATCAGTCAGGCAGTTGCTTTCACCACCTGGGTAGCAAGAGCATTAAAAACATTCTCTGGTGCTGCTATGCTTTCCATTATTTCATCTTCAGTATCTATGTTGCATAGTTTTTCTACATTTTTCATCTCCAACGCAATAGCAACCGCCAGCCACTCGGGCCAGTTTATGCTCTCAGCACCCGTCAGGAGCAGGCTCAGCCCATCCATTGCTCTGACAACGTGGAGCATCTCAGCCCAACCAGGGCAATGCTGCAATTCCCTGAGAAACCCCTGTCGGGATTTCTCAAACTACTTTTTACGTTTTCTCAAAGTACTTACGATTTTTTTCTCAAAGTTTTTATGATTTCTCAAAGTACTTTTTACAAACTACTGGATCTAAGAGCAGGTTCTCCTGAATATAGTCAAGGGCACATCATTAGGGAAGGTACTGAAACTGGCCCTGCTCTAAATGCCCCAATACTATGACATTTCAAAACTTAAGTCAAAAAATGTTTTATAAAAGGGAAAATTTCACGGCCATGCACACTAGCATCCCCCATAAACCACACAGTCAAAACAGTCTTGCAGCTGCAGCTAAATGAAAATGACAATCTGAAACTTTTCCAGACTGGTAACTGCATAAGTCAACAACACGAATAGTTGTCAGTATTTCACATTAAAGGGAACTGAAAGTCTTACCAGAAAAAAAAAAAAAAAAAAACCTCTAAGCTCAGCTATGCATTCTGGTAAGATATAAGGGGAGACTCCTTGAAATATAGACTGGTGGAGCTTCAGAGAACCACAGATGATAATTCGCATATTCAAGAATATGGACAAAATTTCCTTCATTTATCATGAATGAACCGAAATAGCCCATGCTGACATGCAGGTGAAAGACATACAACATACATGAAGAATTGTGTTAGGTTGGTCTGAAGGCTTTGAAAGGTAAAACAATAAATATAGAAAGAAAGAAAGGTGGAAAACAGACTTATTTAACAATTAATCATTTATGCTACTAAATAATGCATGATCAACTGCTGAAGATTAGTGTCATGAAAATTAGTATTCAAATTTAATCTACCCCTCTGTAAGGTACAGAGGTATCTATAAAAAGATTATGTGAACGAATATTTGATATTCAAAGTGGCAGACCCAACATTTACTTGCTGACAAGAAAAAAATATACCTTCTTCAAAATGTTGGACCTCAAGTAGCTAGGGCTTCTTAAGGCATACAGCCACACATGGCAATTGTGGTTTAATTGCACCTTCTGCTTTCTATATATTTACTGATAAACTTGGAACGTCTAGTCCTGCAACACTACTACTTCACAAGATGATTCATTATAAAGGAGAAGAGAATTGGTTTCACTCCATTTTTTTTAATTGGAACTTGATAAGGAGTCAAGCATTTTAAATTTTGTTTCTAGGGAAATACTTTGAAATGCATCAAATTCTTCAAGGAACAGGCATTCAATTAAATGATTATTTTTGTTCACTTAACACAGCATAGGGGCTTGTCTCTGATCCACTGTTCTTGAGATTTCTAAACTAAGGCATATACAAAAATATATGGTTTTAATACAGAAAAATTTCCTGTAATTCCTATCATATAAGGAAGCACAATTATGTGAAGACAAATTTGGATCAAAAATACTGGAGAGGGAGATGGGGGAATCATAAGAAAAAGTAAGCCTGAAATAAAGTTTTCATAAAATGAAAACAAAAATTCCAAAAGAAAAATAATTGTTCCTTTTGTATTAAATAATATTTTTTCTTAATATCTCATGCAGTGTGCTTGCAATTAGCACTTGCTGGACAGCAGTGTCCTAATGAGCAAGAAAAAAAATCTGACAAACTCAAAAACTCATACATTAAAAAAAAGTTCACTGTTCAACAAAATAGGAAGCAAAAATGCATGCATAGTAAGAAGTAAATTTGTAGGCTTTTGCTTATAACACTTATCTACAAAGAACAATAGTAAGAAAATATACTTACTGGTGTTTATTTTTTAATCTAACAGTATCCTTTTAAAGCTAGAAAAGCTGAAGCTCTTAATGTAAATCCTATGGATTCAATCAATACAAATTACAGTAAATAGTCTACTACAAAAATAAAATGGGAAGGCTTAACGATTTGGCTAATGACACTAATTTCATATATTACAGTAGATCTATTAAAACATTATGGAAAACACTATTTATGCTTTTATACTTATACAGATCAAAATGTGTTTCTGTTGGAAGTGGAATGGGGTTCAAGGATGACTAGGGAAGGATACGATCAGTGCCTTGGAAAATCACACAACCTTTCACCAATTCTCCCATGATGCACCCAACTGACCAGATATCAACTGAAAGTAAAAATGAGATGATCAAATTATGAAGTCTCATGAACAAAAGTGAGGAAAAAAACAAAAACATCTAGCATCTACAATAAAACACAACAATGTGGAAAAACAAACTCTTAACATGAATTTTCAATCATTTCAACACCGACTAACTTAACTGTTGCTAAATTGTGGTTTTAGCATTTTGTAAAAATATAAATACTGTTTACATTTCTGAAACAACCATGAAGAAGGATACAATCTCTTCCTGGGAACAGGACCTTATGGAGGACCATTTCTGCCATAATGCACCCAACAGACCAGATATCCACTATCATATGTTAGGTGCAACAAGGACAAAAGATTAAAGATTTTTTAAATACGATGATTATTTATTTGTAACTTCACACTGCACATTTATAGTCCTGCAATTATTTTCCTGTCCTATCGAGAACTGCCTCTACTAATGTTCTCGTCCACATGAGTATTTGCTGTAGTACAAGCTGCCACACGCATCAATGTAAACTCTTAAGTGGCTCAGCAAGATCCTGTGAGTCCCTTGTATTAGGCAGCCAAAGTTACAGAAAGTACGATACCCCCAAGCCCCAGTGACAAAGCAAAAAGATGTACTAAGATAAAAGACCAGAGGAGGCAGCATATTACTCCACAGCTAGTAAAAATCAGCAAGTAAAACACTAGTACACAAGTTTGTTGGCTGGATGTTCAAGGCATTAAAAATAGTTAACTATAGCATAACACCCAGCCTTTTTAAGTGCTTTGCAGGTTTAAGGGAATATAAGACATTGTTTCTCCTAGGAATCTGAAATAGATTTTAATAATCACAGACATAAAAGGGGCAGACTGTAAAAAGATGCTTCACAATAAAAATCACACTGATATAAGGGTTTATTATTTATACAATGATCATTATTTTAAAGTATCATCCAGCATAAATGTCTCACTTTTTTTTTTTAGGGTAAAGAAAATGACACCAGGACAACAGATGAGAAGGTAAAACAACAGCAGGGGAACAGGAACAGTATACATTAGAGATAAACATGCAGTAGAAAACTATTACCTTCTCCAAAATAACCAGTGTATATTTTTGTTGTTATTGTCATGTTATGTCATAAGCACACTTTGTTTAAAAACAGACATGGCAGAGGAAAAACAGCTCTGCCCTGATCTTTTAAAGCTGTTATGTTCTGAGACAGATATGATTTAGACAAAAGATTGTTAAAGAGATTTTAAAGTGTTGCTCCAATAACTTACCATTTTCTTTATAGCCCATTCCAAGGATAACCTCTGGTGCTCTATAATACCGTGTTACTACATATGGAGTCATCATAAAATTAGTACACGCTGTTCTTGCCAGTCCAAAATCAAGGATTTTGAGCGTACAATCTGATTTTACTACTATGTTGCTGGGTTTCAAATCCTAACAAGAAATTATTTCAGTTAAGGAAGGCTCAATATACTGGATAATACATTACTCCCCACTCCCAAAGTCCTTATATACCCCCAGTTCACCTCACATAACAACTTTACATTCGTGTTCTGGTATTTCTGCTGGTTTATATATACACAGACCAGAGAGAAGTGAAATGCTGCACAGCTCAGTGCTCAAAAGTCAGGGAAATACCGAATCAACATCATCTGCAGACTTTTAATCTACACAGTTGTGCAGTGACAACATAGTCAGTTACCTTACATTCTGTAATGCACAATGTGTACATTTATCTACTTCCTTTAACACATCGAGTGGACCTATTTTGGGTATGAATAATAGTTGCATAGAAAAGGAGATTGTATGAATCTGTCAGATGTCTGTAGTAGAAAGTGGCACGACACAATACATTAATAACTGCATTTGTTAATGACAGATAAGCCACCTGCATTATTTTGGTTAGCAAATTTCACTGTTAAAATTATGATGTAGAGAAAATACAAAGTTATCCAGTGAGCAGAGAGAAAAATAACATATTTAAAGATATCTGCCTCATGGGAAAAAGCATTATTGCACCCAAAGGAATATACAGCACAGGAAAAACTAAAGCACTTTTTTATTCACAGATTATCAGAAGTCACTGAATTACACATGCACATTTAATTCTGCTCAAATGTTTGACTTGGTTTCAGTCACATGAACTATGCTTTCAGGTACAAAATATTCTTTTCTCAAGGGAGATGATGGGGACATGCAAATAGATCAAGTGTGAACATTTTAGGAAGGCAACAAGTTTCTGCAGAACAGTATTGAACCAGCTGGCTTGGAGTTTCTAATCTTCTACTCAGACTTTTCTCTTGAAATAACAGAATAATTATTTACAGTTGTTGGCAGTGAAATTTGTTGTCCTCTCATCTTGCTATAATGCTGGGCCATGTGAAGGATATCACATTTCAATATTCATCTATTAATAACAGAGGTGGGAGTCACACAGATTATTTCAAAGTTCTATTTGGTCACAGACTCTTAAGTCATCTCTAGGTATATTCCTTTGAGCTATCCCTGTTCTGTTCCTCTCCTAGACTGGATTCTTTTCCAAATCAAATCTCCAGTTCTTAAGAATATGTGTTCATAGAGTATCGTTAACGATCTAATACTACCTACTCTGTGGATGATACCAGCTGAGTGAAGATGTTTGATACCACATAGCATCTGGTAAAGAAGATAGGACATTCTTTCATGATCCAATTCCATATGAATAACTTGGCACAAATTGGCATCCATCAGCTCCATAACCAAGTATCTAAAGCATAAGAAAGAAAACATTGAGAAACCCTGAGTCAAAAAGTTAACAAATTTAAAATGCATTTCGTATGCATTACCATAATTTCAAAATTATAGTGTTATCTACTCAAATAGTCTAACTATTAAAAGTGAAAAAAATATTCAGTAGTCCATCACAAGAAATTAGAATTTAGCTAGTTTTAGAAATGGCAGTCAGAATAATAATTCTGAGTTTTCTAAATTGATACAGCATGAAAAACTCAGACTGACTGAAATTCATGAAGAAATTGCAGATGCTGCAATGCATCAGGACTTGATGTTTCCTTTCACTGTAATTACACCCCACACACCCCCAAAAAAATATTGTAAGGACTAATAAGGAACGATTAATTTTCAAGTTAAAATATCATCTGCTTACCCACTCAAAGACACACATACCCTTTTACCCAAGCCCATTCACTAACCACAACAGCATATGCACTGAAATGACCTACACTTCCATCTTATGTGTGTAGTAAAACATCTTACTTTTTTCTTTCTTTCAGAAATATCCAGAAAGACTAACTAAAGCCTGGATTTAGTCTTTTAGCTACCCTCTGTATTCAAAGTATAAAGTCTGTAAGATAGTAGAAATATAGCTCTATGGCTTATGCTACTATTTGTCAGGAAAATTAAAACAAAAAAAATCTAGTACTTACACATCCTGAAATTCTTCTAGTGATTTCTGTGGTGTAAATACATTTAATAAACTAATTATCTATAAAGGAAAAACATTAGAAGAAGCTTCAGCTTTAACTCAAGTAAAAACCCATTCATTGCAGAAATTATTATTCAAAATCAAAGGCACACTGGTAATATACACAATTTAAACATTACTTGGTTTCACTTAATTCACTTACACTGAAAAATTGCTGTTTCAAAAACAGTTCAGATCTGCAGCACATATGCTGAAGGAACTGAGACGGCAGAAATGTTTTTCTTTTTGAAGTTACATGACACCTAACTCCCTCTCCAGTGCCTAGACAGCACCCTTTTTTTAAGCTACATCACTGCACCCTCCAAACCTACCGGTTAAATACTGTATTTAATACAAATCTTGCCTAAGCTCAGAAAACATAACTACAGTGCAGTTACAAGAGCCAAACCATCTGCCAGACAGGCTTTGTTCGCTTAACAGGACTTAAAAGAGCAAACACACTACAGCAATGTCATCTTTACAAAGTCTACACTGAAGGTAAATCCACAACAGCACTGCAACAAGAACCTCCTGCTCTTGGCACTTCATCCTTTTAACAACCAAACAGCTTGCCCAAGACCTCAACCACACATCATGTAAATTCTATTACCCACACCAAAGCCTTCCAATTTCACCATTTTTCTGGTATTTTGGTTATCGATAACAAGAGAGCTTTTAAGACAAATTACTCTAAGATGAAAGAGGGAAATATAAAGCCAAACTTACATTTTTGTGGTTGACACATTTTAAAAGAACAAGCTCTCTGTAAGCTCTTTTTGCATGGGTTTGATTCTGAAAAGGACGACTCAACTTCTTTACAGCAACATTTATTCCAAGGACTGTATCAAACGCAGCACTAGAAGTTTTCAAAAAGACAAACAACTTAAGCTGAAGTCTGTTTTGGGGAGAGGTGGGGGAAAAGGGCAGATAGGAACAAGGAAATAAATCAAGATTTGCAAAAATTAGTATCAACTAAGCAGCTTCATCTAATTTACATTTACAAAATGTACATTCCTTAAAAACAGAATTAGGTTAAATAAAGGCACTAACATTCTTACAAGAAGTCTTCTGTGCCCCCCCCTCCCAATAAGACAGTATATGCTGACTCAATAGATGGAAAAATATGTTAAGCTTATTTTAAATTAATAAGTATTTCAGTTGCCTAATCTGTATACTTAGGCCTTTTTTTGGGACAGCACTGCTGACAGTCATTTAACATTTGCAAGAGGAATTTCCCTAAAGGACAGTCACAGCACCTGATCTGTTCCACAGGTGTCAATGCACTCCTCCTGCATCTGAATAAATTACAATTCATAGCAATTTTAATGCTTAGCAGAAAATTACACTCATCATCTGGTTTCACACAAAATAAAAATCAATAGAATGGTGAAATATGGAAAGCTCCCAGATCCCAGGGAGCAATACAACGATTTAAAAATGAAAATGGCCATTCATCTGGCATTATTTTTCAGTTGTCCTTGTTCGTTCCCTCTGCAATTTGAGATACAGATGCAAACTTGCTTTAACAGCTGTAAGAATCTAAGGCTAAATTATCTGAAGTCTGAATATCCTCATTATTAACACAGAGACTATTTAGCAAATTATCTGCAAATGCATACCATAAAAAACACAGATGTTCCAGTCTCCTACCTCTGTAGCTTTATACAAAGATTTCCGTATTACTTCCATTTAATATTACTTTGCCAGGGTAGGAAAGAAACATACATTTTCCCAGAACATTTCTTTGCAAATTCCTTCCCTGTCTCATCAAGACATGTACAACACCAGGCTTAAAAGGACCACCAGATTATAGTACTCTTACAAAAGAACAGCTCATCTGTGATAGCAATACTCAAATCATACAAAGTTTACCAGCATCAAGCCACTACTTTCCCTAATGGAAAAAGCAATACACCACTAAGCAGGGTTTGCTTGCAAAACGATGTTTTCTTGTCCCAGATTTGAATCAATGCACCACTTTCATTAAAGGCTTGCTAGCATTTATTTCAACATAGTTCTGCGAAATACACAGGTCATTATTCAGTGACGTATGATCACTCTCAAATTTAAAGCCTTTATGCCTATGTGAAACAAAACACAAAATGGGAGGCCAGGCAGTTGCACAAACTATTTTCCTCCCAGATATGAAGCACTGATGCTTCAATATTATTCACTTCACCTAGAAGGCATAATACGTAAAAAGTTTCACATACATTGATGACTAACAGTGCCTGGGAATTACTACAAAGCTAATAATCAACAGGATCTATATGAAAAAAAGCTGTCCAAGCCAATCACAGCTAGCTAGGTGACTGCAGCAGAGGGGCATACGAGCAATTTTAGGCAAAGTATCCCTCTGCCACCTGACAAATCTGGTATGTGTCACGACTCATCCTCAGCACACATAAAAAAAAAAAGTCACCTGTACCTTTCATTTTGCTTATTTATCTACATGAAAGTGACTGACACTGCATCTCAAAAAAGAATCTGCAGCTGCATCTGCTACCTTCATATCCAAAATTAAAAACAGACTGGTAGGGAAAAGAAAAAAAAAAAACAGTAAAAAATGTTTGAGCATGAAGTAATTACCAAGAAAAATATAACATCTTTTACCACCAAAAGCATACTTCTAAATATCACAATTCTATGTAAGCATAAAAATTGTGGTGAACTGTAGTAAGGTCTTCCCTGCACTTGTAATAGATTTGCATCTTGAGCAAATGTTTAATATTATGCGACATTGTTACTCCTACGTGATGAAATTATAAACAAAATATTATGACCTAAACTACAGCAAGAAATTATACTTCAGATGTGTAGGCAAAGGACTTTCTCTTTGAACTGCAATATGCTACTACCATGGATTCCTGCTCTGCCAGTTCCACTTCACTAACTTCCCTACTGCCTAAATACAAGTTTGCATGCAGCAACAAACTTCTCCCCACAATTTCTTAAAGTGCAACTGTAAAGAAAGTTATCAACAGTCCAAGCTCAAATGAGTCTACGAATATGATAGTGGTTTTGCTGCACTGAAGGACAAAAGAAATTTATTGGGACAGAAAAATCAGATTTACTAGAAAAATGTAGGAAATCAAGGGCAAGACAGGAAAAAAATGATGACAGGAAGTCAAAGAAAAATTTCAAGCAATTTTGTGCAAGCGGTTACTCAGTGGCAAATAGATTGTAAGGTTTCAAATATGTAAATGGTCCAGGAGAAAAGTGTGAAAAGTCACATACAGAAGTGAACTTCGTACAGAAACACCCTCTAGATAGCAATCAAGTTCCCTTTTCATTTATATAGAGCTCTCATTTTGTATTTCCTTTATCACTGTTCTTCGTATTTTTAACTAGTTAGTTTTTTCTTAATATAAGATGTAGAAAAATAAGCAGCAACAATACCAATGAAGATTCCTATTAATATTTGGAAGAAAAACAACAGCAGAATTCAGACCTCTCACTACTGAAGTAATATACCTGGTTTTAAGAACTCCTCACCAAAAAAATACTACACACAAAACCCCAGAAATATTTTTCGTAACGTTTGTGTTAAGCACAGGATGATTTTTAAAAAAATAAAGTATCATACATGTGTATCACACGAATGCCACTGACATTTTTCCAGCCAAAAATGACAGCACAGAAGTCATCTTATGGTGACATTTCTACATTATAAATCCATGTATTTTGCATATCTCCTTTGTGCATTTTAAGGACTTTTATGGAGAAATTACGATTTTGCACCTTCTTCAACTTGGACTCAGTTTTGAGATGTTTCACATGAAGATAAGAATTTATGCAATGTTTTACCCTGTTGTTCCAAAATATCAAGTATTCTCAAAACAAGTCAATAAATCAGATCATCCCTTCCTCCACCCAAGATGTTGACCTTAACACAACCCCAACTTTGTTTTGCAGCAGACGCCTAGCTTAAGTCATATAGTTTATGCACTGCTTCCAATGAACGAAGAAGCAATTACCACCACCCTGAATTCTTTTATGTAATCTAGAATACATAAATACACTTAATGTTATGCTGGTTCTGTATTCTTTATATCCTATACTAACTCTTACCAAACACTAACATGAAGATCTAGCATGCCTACCCGTTCATCACTCAGCCCACTAAAGAAGAATGAAACAAGGTGGTCTCATCTTGCTTACTTTTCATCTATTTAAGCAGGGCAATAAGAACAGCAAAGTCACTTTATTTTTAAATAAAGTTATGTTCACACAAAAACTAAAAGGCTAAGAAGACACGGGCAGGTACGGTATAAGGAGTTGCTGACATTATGAGTCATCACACTTATTCTGCAGAATTCATAGACAAACAAAAACCACAGGCTGGATTTAAAGCACGAACAACCCACCACGCTGTTCTGATCAAGTCTAATATTAGAGTTCCTAAACCTATCTGCTTACTCCCGTGTGTACGGAATTGTAAAACCGCATCGATAAACATTTCCCTTGTTACCAAGTCAGTTTTGCCCAACGAAATAAGGGCTGGCAGTAAGCAGTGCAGAATGGATTGCTGCAGTCTAAAAAACATTTGAAAGTGTTTACCTTTAGCTGGCCCAGAGGTGTGGTGCCATACAAGAGACTAAGGTTCAGGATCAGACTAACGACTCTCTCGTCCTGGGCCAGTGGAGGCTGGACACAGAGCTGAGGTGACACACCAAGGAAGTGACGGCCAGCCCAACCCCTCACACAGCATCCCTTCCTGGTTAATCCATGGAGTGACAATGACACTGACTTGCCTCGTCCTGCCAGTTAATGGCAAGGCACTGCATGGATGGCTCCTAGAAATGGACAGGAGTGATCGGGAATAAAAGGGGGGGAAGAAAGGGGGCCATGATGAAGAAACGAGTAAAACCCAGAATCTCTCACCATCTGTCATTCCTTACACTGTAATATCATGACTACATGGGGAATGTGAGAACTAGAAACAAAAGTAAAGTGGTTAATGAGAAGGAAATTTGTTGACCCTCTTAATTTATGCAGTTACATAAATATTACTTTTCCACTAAAGCCAAAATAAAAAAGCTAGTTTTGCACATGAACTACTGCGGGCAGGTATTTTAGTATCTATTTAGTCCATCATAACCCTGTAGCAAGAGACAGAAATTAACATCAACATCTGACATCCTGGCACCTCTATCAGGAATACAATCAAATTTTGTTATGTATTTAGAGCTTTTTATGTTTTAATAAATTATTTTTACTCACCAAACAATGCCCTGTGCCCCTGATCCTATGGGCTTCAATTGCTGATAACGTTTTAGTACAGTGAACGTTGAATCTGCAACTTGAACACTGTAAAATTGACTATCACATTTACTGTCACTCATGGTGTAGTGTCATGTAGTTTTCTCTCTCAAGGACCTGGTACAGGTTTCAAGATCTTGAAGAAAAAAAAAGAAAACAGATGTTCAATCTCTGACTAATTCAAGGCAAACAAGTTGGAAAATATATTTTAATACAATTAAATTTTTCAGTAGCATACTCTTTAATAAGCATTCTTTCAACCTCACTTATTACTACTGCTAATGAAAAATTCCTGCAGACAAGACAACAAATAATTATAACCTTCACAGCTGTAAGCAAACGCGTGTTTCTATTCCAATCCCCAACACAAAAGGCAGACAAGTAAACAACTTCAAAAACAAACAGGAATGCCCTAATCCAACAGCTTTTTCTCTACAATGTGAAGGAAACTCCGTAGCTCAGAGCTACGGCTATCTCAACCCACTCTCCTCCTCCTTTTATCTTAAATGCATACCGACATCCCATGCTATTTGTTAGTGTGCTTAAAGCCCTACAAGGATCCAAGAGTTCCCTTTAAAGAATGGAAAAGCAAACTGTATGAAAGAGAAATACCATCCAGGCAGTGACACTCTGCAGCTGGCCTCTCCCAAGCAGTTCTAATCGGCCTCCTGCTCAAAGCTGCAACTGGACTTTTACAAAGACACAGACTGAAGTGCAGAGGGCAGTACGGAGCAAGATCTGAGAGGAAAAAATGTCACATTGACTGGGTTGGTTACCCAGAAAAAGAGGAGAGGAGGAAAGGCATGAGAGACTGAAGAAAGAAGGAATGAAATAATATATTCTCCACGGACACAATGGATGTGATGATTAGCAATGAGCTATAAAGATGTTGATTAGACAGTTTAAAAGAGGGGAGAGGAAGAGAAGACGACCAAACAAAAGCCAGTTTGTAAAAATAGGAGCAGCGAAGCACTCTAGAAGATTCCCTAAGGAAGTGATGGACTCTCCTTCACTGGAGGTTTCTGTGCCACACTAACAGCTGTCAGGAACAAATTAGATGTACGTAATTACATCCAAGAGCAAGGTTAGGCACTAAACCTCTTTAGCTCTAAAGCACTGCAGTAATGAGCGTAGACCTCCCATTTTCCCAGGCATCCATCCCTCCTCCAAACCTTACAAGCCCTCAATTACCTCAGTGATTACCGTAGAGGTCCCTAAGAAATTCCCCCATTTTTAATTTCACATTCAACGTGATAGATCGTGTCATTACAGCCCAGACTAAATCGCAGTCAAGTGTTCCTTGAAACAGGAAATGAAAGCCGATCACCTTCCCTCTCAGCAGCTGCCCTCACCGCCAGGCTGTACAACATCCTTGTTAGCTACAGAACAAGCAGTTGTTCTCTCTCTCTTCGCTGGCCTACAGAATATTTGTGAGCCAATGCAAAACAGAAAAGCCTCAAGAGCAACCCAGAATCCCCCCCCAAAAGGTCACACAGCCACACAAAAGGCTTTCAGTCGTTCAAGAATTAGCATTTGGATGTCTCCCTTCCTTGGCACAAACAGGAAGGAGCAGCATCTTCTCCATGTCCAGGGTCTGCAGATGAACACTAGGAAATGTGCAAGGAAAACAGGCAGAAGAGCAGCAAAACCTACCAGAGACTGGGGTTAATCTGGTAATGGCTCGTCTTAAGGCATTCTCAAGTATCTAGAGTCCCATTTAGCTTCTAGCATCCTGGAATCTAGGTAGCATTTTAAAAAGCAGGTACCCAATTTGGTCATCGATGGCAGCAATTTAGGCAGTAAATTTACCTGAGACATCCTCTCAGAAGTTTAAGGAAAAAAAAAGCAAGGGAGAAAGGATCAGCAAAAGGAAAACGTAAGCAACCAGTTTTCTGCCTCTGCCACAGCAGCAGTAGGGAACAGTAATACATCTCCTACACAGGGCCAGTCAGATGATGTTCCACCATGAGCTCACACTTAGATAAGACCAAAACCCTGCCTTACGCAGTGCTCTCAACCTTTCCTGCTACACCCTAGGAACAAACCCACTCTTCCTTCCAGCCTTTTTTATTACTCCAAAGCTCTACACTCTGCAGCACTCAATTTTTTGATTAATGGTCCCTGAGCAGTCCTGATATTTTCAGTAAATCTCCAACGCTGCAAGAAAGACACAGCTGGAAAGTGAAGACCCAGCTCTGCAAAAGACTTATAGAAGAGGGGGGAAAAAAAAGTATAAAACCTGATTAAGCTGTAATCAGGTTAAAGACTTGTTAGTTATGTGAGAACCATGCTGTGCCTCTTCAAAGGATAATGAAGATCATTGCTTCTCTGTAGCAGTGATAACAAAGAAGTGGGAAAAGGAAGTTATCCCAAACCGGAGAACCCAAACTTTAGGAAATCTTGTCTGTCCAAAGCCATCTTTTGGAAACTATCTAAAGACCAGGATGAGCTCTTTAGACAAGACCGAGAGCAGGTCTCGTGCACTGCAACGAACGAAGCATCACAGATTCTGACATCCTCTGGAATTCAGTGTGCAGAGAGCCCAGCCTCTCCATAACACCTGGAGAAAAGCAGCAGGCAGCGCCCTAGTTTGCACCCGGGCTGCAAGCTGCTTGGAAGCATCAGCACATCCGTTATTTCAGACACACATGAACATAAAACTAGGTGGCGCGGGACTGTAGGTGTTCACAGGACTTCTGGCTTAGAGTCTATTCTGAGGGGGGTCAGGCCCCTTGAATAAGAACAGATTTCCCACTGCTCAAAGGAAAAGTGTATCTGACAAGTGAGTTTCATAATCCTGAGCTGTTACTCTCCAGCCTGAAATAATTCGATGCACCACTCCACCTAGCAGTGTATGCAACATATTCCATGCTTCTGATATACAAGAATCTCATTTCCATTTTGGAAATTTATGTTTTCATTTATGGTTCCCTAGCTACAGCTGCACCAAACAGGACCAGTGCCAAATGTGAAAGTCGTTCATTCACAGGATGGTCAGCAAATGTACTTCTACGTATTGACAATGGCGTGTCACCGAGTCACAAAGTTTCTGGGTATCTTTTTATTTTAGACCATGCACGAGATGCATAAAGTGGGTGTGGATTTTTGTGCTTGTCTTAGTAGCTTGCTTGTACGGTTGGAGAAACTTAAGAAGCATGAAGTTGATCTTACTGCATGTGGTGAGTTCACAGTGCTCACAGAAGTGGTTTTCAACCTGAGCTCATGAAAGATGAAACAACCAAAAATAGGGAAACAAAAAAAACACCCAACCTGCCTCCGGTAGGTTTATGAATTGTACAAAAAATTCAGGGGTTGAAAGCAACTGCACCATGGTGCGTATGTATATACATGGCCTGTATTAAAGTCACCTCTCTACAAGTCATTTATTAAAATGGCAACTTATTATTAACCAGATCCATCCTCTGGACATTTTCCAAGCCAAAAGCTTCTGAAACAAACAGGTTCTAACAGCAGGGCACGCATTCCCCGTGTTATTTTGGATACAGAGGTGTTATTACAATGAAGCATACGAACGTCAAGAAAATGAACTTGGGTTTTAAACTTCAAGCCAAATCGTGTTGCAGACGGGAAGAACATAGAATGAACACAATACCTATATATGAAAAGAGAAGATATTCTGTGCTGTTTCCATATCTCCCCCATTCCCTCGTTACCTTTACCAATTAACCAGCAGCGCTGGGTCCCCAATCCTTACAGCAGGATATCAACAGGTGCAGGTCCCAGACACAGCCCCTGCCGCGGTACCTCCCGTGCGGCTCCTGGCAGCCCTGTGGCAGCCCAGCACCGCCGGTGAGCGCAGCCCAGCGGCACCGGGGTCGGTCACAGCGGGTTTGGGGCACCCCCGGGCTCTGCCCGCACCCCAACGCACCCGCCCTGAGGAGGCTGAGCCGGGGGCAGCTCCTCGCCTCCCCCCCTCCCTGAGGCCCTGCCCGGGCCCGCGCCCTCTCCCCACTGTGTGGCCGGGGCTCCGCTCGCCTCAGGGCTGGGCTCGCTCCGACCCCGCCGCCCCCTCCTCCTCGCGGCTCTTCCCTCACCGTGTCGTCCCTCAGAGGGCTCCAGCGGGACGAGACAGGCCGGGCCGCGGCGGCAGCCCCCGCCGCCACAGCCGCCGCCTCCTCCTCCCTCTCCTCCTCCGCGGCCGCCGCCTCCGCCTCGCAGGGCCGCCCCAGCCACAATGGCCTCCCGCTGCTCCGCGCAGGCCGCGCCAGGCCTGCGCGCGCTGACGGACGCCGCCTCCGGCCAATCGCATCGCTCCGCCGGCCGCGCTCAGCCAATCGAGTCCCGGGGGCGGGACCTCTCCGCGCTCTCCCTCAGAGGGCGGGGAAGGCCCGCAGCGGGGACGGGGAGGCTGCGGCCAATCGCGACGCGGCGCCCGCCCTCCGCCGTGACGTCATCGCCGCACGTCAGGCTCTCACGCCGCTCGTGACGTCGCTGCCCCGCCGCGGGCAGCAGGGAGGGAGGGGGGCGTGTGGCGGTGACGTCACGCGCCGGCAGCACCTCACGGCCCGGCCCTGAGGGCGTCAAAATTAATGAAAATAAATACAGCCGCCCCTTACGGCAATAGATAAATAAACCCCTTAATTGTTTAATATTAAATAAGTGGAGCAAAGGCTGTTAGGAGCTAGTGTAGCACCTTCCAGCTCTGAACCTGCATAAACACACAAACAGCACTGGGCATGACATGCATGGGCTTGCTTCTAATATAAAAATAAATTCACTCATCAAAGATGTAACACAGGCAGACAGGAAAGATTTCAATTCCTGACTGTTCCAAAATACACAAACAGGTGAAGCTCTCTCATAATTTGATACCCACCTTATTTATTTGAGGTTTATAATGCTTCTTAGGGCTAGCTAGTTCACAACTAAAATCCAGGCCATTGTGAAAAAAGTAAGATCTGAAATCATTAATACACTCCTTCATATAAAGAAGCATTTCTTTTTCTTGATTAGTCCTAGCTTGAATTTGTAAATAGTACTCTCTTATTTACCAGTATAGGGGTTTTTATTTTTTTGTATCCCTGTGACTGTAGATTAGATACTATATTACATACAAGTTTATGGCAAGTTTTTATTGGCCTAGGAGACAACATTATGTCCGCAAACAAAACACGTAAAAATACAGACACAGCTTCCCTTTCCAACTACAGATATCTTCCCGCGTTCATCTACCTCAAAAGAAGGTAAAATACAAAGGCTTACTCCATTCTGTGATTCTATGCTCATGTAAGGAAGTGAATCCAACTCACTGTGTGCAATCAGTAGCTGGTGTGAACTTCAGTAGGAGCTACAGAGACTGTGCTGCTGTACTGCTACGGGACTCAAAACACTGGCGAGAAGTCACCAAGTGCAGTGCTCCTGTACTCAAGTGGTTTGTAACAGTGGGGCAAGCTACCTAAACCTGGTAGAGTCTTTTGAACTACAGCTGCTCGAGAAAGAAAAGTGTATCCACCTTTTGCATAAGTACCTGTGGCTAACATGAGACCTGTGTCACACAGAAAGGATGAAAGAACTCTGATACCGGGACTGGAGGAAAATCTCTCCTGCTGATACCAGAGTACTGCAGTGTTGTATTTTTACTCAGACCTGAGATAAGGAGTCATTAAGGGATAAAGAAAAAACAAAACAAGCCACCACCAACAACAAAAAAATCAGAAACAAGAAGAATCTATATAATCTTTTCTTTAATTGCATTTTAATTTCATTGTACATACTTCAAACAGAAGTATCATTTGATGAAAGACATCTAGTTTCCTTATTTTGTTGCACTGTACATGTTAGGCAAGTAAGAGCTGGGGCAGAATACAAAACAAGATGTTGTTCTGGCTTTTCAAATAATTAGTTGAAAGAAACAGGAATTTAAAACATAGCTGGGAATTTACAGCCACAGAACAGCTTTACAAAGACTGGTTAAATACAAAACAGTCACAAGGGCAGGGAAGCAGAAGCTGGGTGGGAAGAGGGACAACAAATTTCCAGTTTGAGGCTGAAGCAGGAAAAACACACTAAAAACTGTACACAAGTAAGTGTGTCAAGATGCTCAGTATTTACATTCTGAGCATTACCAATGCTACAGATAAGCAACATACTAAAAAAAATAACTTAAAAAAGCTATACAATTGTACTTATAAATACTTTATCTTTAAAACTAGTTAAGTAGTGTAGGCTAAAAAAATGTTCACAGTTACTCTGAAGAGAGCTGTATATATATATTGCACAGTAGAAAAGTTCATTCAGTATACCATGTGTAAACAATTATTTTTATCTTCTCCTTTGGCAATTTCAGGACTTAAAGGAATATTTGCTGTGAGCAAAAGCACTTGGGTAACAAGGCACATTGAAAGCTTTTAAAGCTGCAAGATAAATCCTTCTGACACTTGCCACTTAGCACTGTCATTCTCTTTCAAAAAAAAAAGTGTACCTATCAATTCAGAACAACGCATTTCTACAAGTATAACTCAGAGGTCTGGTGACAAAAAAAAAAAAAAAAAGATCAGGTGTTCTTTGCCGTTATTCTACAGTAACAGATTTGGCCAAGTTTCTTGGAAAATCCACCTAGAATGAAAAGACAGACTTTCAGTATATGACAGAACCAAAAAGTGGCATTCTGAACTTGACAGTTCATTCAGTATGCTGGTGTTTTTGTTTGATTTGCTTTAAAGTTTTCCTAAGGAGATTTGCTTTATTCTAGAACCATTAACACACACAAGAGATCATAGATCTGTAGACCACAACTCCCTGTTGAACTCATTCTTGTTTCCAAAACCCTCCTAACAAACATACTGTTTTATGGCACAGGGCATCTTTGCACAGGGGTCATCATTATCAAACTGACACACCTAGCCAGAGTCAACAAACTGCTGTACAAAGCAGTGAACTGTCTTAAATTAAGGTGCAATACCATGTTATAAATTTAGTATTCTGAAAAAGTATTATCTGCATTCTTAACTAATCAAGCTAAGCAAACGATCTTTACATGTTTTAGAAGGATACCATTAAAAAAAATAAAAGGAGGCTGAAGAACTGGCACTCTTCAGCCACACATCTATTACTACCACACCTCTCCTGTCATAGTCACTACTGGAGCCTGTAACTACCATAGCTCTTTGTTAGAAATGCCATATAAACATGTATCTCACTTTAGATTGGTAGGAGGAAATTCATAACTGCTCTGACTGGAGGGATAAACGTAGAAAGCACTTACATCATATCCTCTGAGAACAGCCAGGTGGAATGAAAGCAACTGGAGAGGAATAACACTCAAGACTCCTTGAAGGCAGTCAACTGTATGAGGCAGCTCAATGGTCTTGTAGGCAAATTTTGAGCTTTCTGTGTCTTCTTTAGAACACAGAATGATTGGACGACCCTGAAAATAGTTTTACAGTGTTAAGTGAAGAGCTGACTTAGACCTCCTTTGCAATATTAGTTCACAACATGCCTGCAGTATGTTTGAAAATGCTGAAGTTGCTAATAAAGGTAATGCCAGTCTTGCATAACGGCTTTCATCACCCACTGTTGTGTGAGAATTGAATGTTTTCACCTCTTAACATTATACCCTTAGCTTCAAAACTGAAATACATCCGCATGCAATCAGTTGTCACTACTAGTGTTAACCTTCAATGACAAACTTCAGTGAGTGTGTAAGACCTTATTTACAACTTTTAATTAGAAAAAAGAAAAATCAATACATCTTGCTTCTGAAGCGCAGTCAGCAGAAATACAGTGTGCACAGTTTCTTACTCTATGACATTACATGAGTTAAACAACTTACCTGTCGGGCAGTGACCTGTTGCAGAGCATTCTGGCATTTGGTGAAGCAAGGATCCTTCATTATCACCATGATAACCGGCATTTGTTTATCTATTAGGGCTAGTGGTCCATGTTTCAGCTCACCAGCCAGGATACCTTCAGAGTGCATATATGTAATTTCTTTTATTTTCTTAAATAATAAAAAAAAAAGCCAAAAAGTTACAAGATGACAAATAAAAGCTGCAAGAAGCAAAATATCAAAGCTGTACATCTGCCAATTAAATACAGACATACACTATCAAGTTACCGTTTTCAAAAAACCAGCCAAATGCTAGAACAGACAAGCTTATATGCTGAGATTTCTAGCAGGATGCTAGTGGAAATTGAATTTCCTGATGCACATGCATTTTCAGTTAAAGAAATGGAGTAATGAACAAGAACTTTTAAGAACACAATTTTGCCTAATGCCATCTAGCTTAAGCATTTCAAACTTCTGATAGACAAATATACATCCATTCTATCATGACACTTGAAATATAATTTAGCAGTTTCCTGCATGAGCATCTTACCTGAACATCATCAGCACATTGTGTCTTGTGAGAATATTTTCAAACAGGTCAGCATTTTAAATGCTATTAATTTTTCTGTATATAATTATACTAATTAAGCATTGAAATTATTATGTGAAAGAACCAAGAAATTGATAATGAACCCAGGTTCACCTTATGTATGCGTTCAGTCCAAAAGGACTAAACATTCAACAGTACAGAAAGCAGTTTTACTGCAGTAGAATTAAGTTTTAAAGAAACCTGAGAAATAAACTATTCTGCAGAAGCCAAAAAAACTCATTTTAAGTAGAATGCAGTGATTTTGAGAGGTTCCTACCAGAGCTCCTTCCAGACAAGTGGCATAATTATATCCACGACCCATCACCAGCAGTGATCTTTGTTTGTACAGTTCAAGAGCCAAATCATGAATCTTCTCATCCAAGGACAAGACTTCCTTAATCATCTCTATTGGATCACACAAAAAAGACATATAAAAAACTCCATCAATTGGAAAAAATATTACTGCTTGGTTTGCTTGCAATATGATACTCTAATGATCTATTGTAACAAATATGCTTAACATAATTCAACTGTTAACTACATATCTGTGCAACTTTGACTGCAGTTTAAATAAACTTTGTCTGGCCCTATTTACAGCAACAAATTTAACATTTAGTGTCTGTGCACCCCATTCTAAAGGAAGTTCTGAACATACATTTTAAAGTCAACTTGAATTAGTTTTGTCTTTATCTATGCCATTTTAAAAGTGAAAGGCTTTACTAATTTTAAATTATCAACTTAAGAGATCAAGGAATATTTCTTAGACAAAACTACCCTATTGAAATTCTGATCTTTCTGCCAGGTTACTTGAAAGAGTATTTGTAAAACTGGCAATAGGTGTAGAACC